TTACAGGAACTCAAGCCATTGGTGGCTCTTGATCCACCCCTATACCAGCCAAGTGATCTTTCTGTTCCTCCCCAAGATTCAATTGGGTTATCCCTTACTCTATTACAGGAACTTAAGCCACTGGTAGCTCATGATCCACCCCTATACCAGCCAAGTGATCTTTCTGTTCCTCCCCAAAATTTCAATTGGTCTATCCCTTACTCTATTACAGGAACTCAAGCCATTGGTGGCTCTTGATCCACCCCTATACCAGCCGAGTGATCTTGTTCTAGAAAATGGACGTAAAGTCTTAACTGATATAGATTATGATGCATATGATGCCCAAGTTTTTAAGATCCCGTCACATGTCAAGCATGGGTAAGAGCACATTTCTATTTTCTCTACTTTGTATTACATCGCTTTATTTTCTATATTGGAAGTGTTAATTATAATTGATCAAATCAAAGCTGATGATATTTAATCTGTTCATGCATGCCCTGAGATGCAGTTTTTGAATAACCGAATGGCCTAATTATGGGTGCATCTTAGCACTAAAAGTCTTGTACTGCGATCAAACTCCCTATTGACGACAACATAAACAAATCAGAGCTACCCAACTGCTACTAAAAAAGGGGTAGTCAACTTACCGAAAATAACAAACAAAATTGTTTAGTTGTAAAATCAAACAAAAGCTGCATCATCCAGAATGTTGTAAATATCCAAATTAAAGCTGATTACGGTAAACTACACTTATATTGTTCGTGTGTTGGGCTAACAGTTTTTGTGATAATATCGGCAGTGTTATAGTGTGTACTTGTAGGTGATGTGAGTAGTTGAGTTTCAAACTGGATATATAATTAGAATCATATTTGTATTTTTATAGTATTCGTCATGTTTTCACAACCACATAGTATTCAGCTTCAGGGATTTTGCAACCAGTTGGATTGGCATGAAAACAAACTCAGTTTTGTTTCATACACCTGCCGACAGTGCAGTGTGACATTAAAGTACCATGACATCCTAATCACAAACAATGGCGGCCTGGTGTGCTGTTGATGCAGAAATAACAACAATACAGGTTTCTCATTGCCGCTACTTTGTCTTGTTTATACAGTTTAAAATATAAAACCAACACCAGTGATCATTCGTCATCGCACGGCAGTCGATAAAATGTAACTGCTACCGTTAAATCTCTATTAGAAGCTGCATCCCTATTATTCTTTTTGAACAATTGAGTACCAAAAATTTCTCATATGTGTAGATGCTCTAATAGAAGCCGCATCTCCTCTATTTCATTGTACCATTTTAATAGAAGCTGTGGCTTATAATATGGATTTGACAGTACAATTGTCTCAGTCATAACATGAAACAGTGTGGTCAGAATTAATTTGTTGTAGGTTTAATGTTTTTTATTGTAATTAACCCTCCTGACTGATATTATCTTCTCTTCATCAGGCTACCAAATCACTACCTGGCACCAACAAGATTTGAGAGATACACAGACAGGGTTACTAAGGTTGGTCTAAAAACTATAAATGTACATGACACTGTTGTTACTTTCAACGTCATGTCATGGATGCATGGAATATCCCATATCATTTGATCTAAACACACTTTGTAATCCCCTGTGTTTTGTGTTTGCAGCCTTACACTGAACGTTTTTTTTTTCTAGCTGTTTTTTATTTATTTTTGCAGAGACGTCAGGCGTGGGGTAGGATGGCATCAGTAGAATTAAAACCTGTCACCAGTGACGTTGAAGTACCATCCAAGTCTTATTCCAGTGATGCAGTACAAATCCCTAGATCTAGAACCAGAGCAATCACCATCAGTGGTTGCAATAGACGTTCATCACATGAAAGAAGTAAGTCTATCCACAGCTTGTTACATGTATGGCCTGCCTATGTTAACAGGTGCATTGGCCACAATATGCTTGTGTAAGTGTTGCCTTAATTATTTATGTCAAGAATTCCTAGTCTGTGAGCTTTCAGGTGTTGTTAATTCAAACCTTGTTGACTTAATACATTATGAACTGCATCTGTTTTTAACGGGCCTTTCTAGTGCCTTGAGCTGATGTTATTCAAACCCTGATGACTGATAATAAGTTATGAACTGTATTAACCTCTCAGTTTCTTACAAGACTTGGTAGTCTGTGTGCCTTGAGCTGATGTCATTCAAACGCTGATGACTCATAAAAAAAACAAAAACTATAAACTGTATTAACCTGTGAGGGTCTTGAAGTCCTGAATAATTTTGACAGTGCCCCCCCCCCCTTTCTCCAAATTTGTTGTGGCTTGTGAGTTGTTGATCTAGTTATATCTTACTTTTAACTCAGCTTTGTTTTAAAAATCCAATTTGTATTTTTTTCAGAAATGTTGAGCAAGAGTTTCCATGAAAGTGGTTCTGTAGAGGAGAATGATAGTCTTCCAAAGCGTACTATTGTTGGCAGTGCTAGCATGGTGACTGACCATTCACTCAGCAAAGCATGGCCATATGCACAGCGGCAAAGAAGAGCACTTATTAATCCGTTTGCACCTAGTCAAATGTTTGACAGACTGACTTCCAATAAGAGAAGATGGACTCACACATTTCCTATAGGTGATTTTGCGATTACTTTCAGATCTTGCAGAAAGGTGCAAACCGAACTTCTGCCAAGAAATCAAATGATTCGATTTTCAACTTGAATTTTTATAGTTAAATGTCACAATCCTGATCTTTCGGAAAGAAATATGGTGTTCTTTGATCAAAAACACATTATGAAGCATGGAAATATCCAAAAAGTACCTTCGTGTTTGTTGAATTCCACACAATGTTTTGACACCACTATGATGCGATGAATTTATTTATTTATTCAAGCTTTTTGCAAAAAAACAACTTAAAAAAAGTTGTCACATAGTGTATTTTGGCACGATAGTGATGATTGAACGGAAGACAATTATATATAACTAGTTGCTAGTTAGCTGAATGTGCACCTAATATGACTAGTTGCTAGCTAGCTAAACGTACACCTAATATGACTAGTTGCTAGTTAGCTGAAGGTGCACCTAATGTGACTAGTTGCGAGTTAGCTGAAGGTGCATCTAATATGACTAGTTGCTAGTTAGCTGAAGGTACACCTAATATGGCTAGTTGCTAGCTAGCTTAAAGTACACCTACCGGTAATATGACTAGTTGCTAGTTAGCTGAAGGAGCACCTTATATGGCTAGTTGCTAGTTAGATAAAAGTACACCAAATATCACTAGTTGCTAGTTAGCTAAAAGTACACCTGATATGACTAGTTGCTAGTTAGCTGAAGGTGCATTTAATATGACTAGTTGCTAGTTAGCTGAATATGCACCTAATATGACTAGTTGCTAGCTAGCTAAAAGTACACCTAATATGACTAGTTGCTAGTTAGCTGAATATGCACCTAATATGACTAGTTGCTAGCTAGCTAAAAGTACACCTAATATGACTAGTTGCTAGTTAGCTGAATGTACACCTAATATGACTAGTTGCTAGTTAGCTGAAGGTGCACCTAATGTGACTAGTTGCGAGTTAGCTGAAGGTACACCTAATATGACTAGTTGCTAGTTAGCTGAAGGAGCACCTTATATGGCTAGTTGCTAGTTAGATAAAAGTACACCAAATATCACTAGTTGCTAGTTAGCTAAAAGTACACCTAATATGACTAGTTGCTAGTTAGCTGAATGTGCACCTAATATGACTAGTTGCTAGCTAGCTAAAAGTACACCTAATATGACTAGTTGCTAGTTAGCTGAATATGCACCTAGTTGCTAGCTAGCTAAAAGTACACCTAATATGACTAGTTGCTAGTTAGCTGAATATGCACCTAATATGACTAGTTGCTAGCTAGCTAAAAGTACACCTAATATGACTAGTTGCTAGTTAGCTGAATGTACACCTAATATGACTAGTTGCTAGTTAGCTGAAGGTGCATCTAATGTGACTAGTTGTGAGTTAGGTGAAGGTACACCTAATATGACTAGTTGCTAGTTAGCTGAAGGAGCACCTTATATGGCTAGTTGCTAGTTAGATAAAAGTACACCAAATATCACTAGTTGCTAGTTAGCTAAAAGTACACCTAATATGACTAGTTGCTAGTTAGCTGAATGTGCACCTAATATGACTAGTTGCTAGCTAGCTAAAAGTACACCTAATATGACTAGTTGCTAGTTAGCTGAATGTACACCTAATATGACTAGTTGCTAGTTAGCTGAAGGTGCACCTAATGTGACTAGTTGCGAGTTAGCTGAAGGTACACCTAATATGACTAGTTGCTAGTTAGCTGAAGGAGCACCTTATATGGCTAGTTGCTAGTTAGATAAAAGTACACCAAATATCACTAGTTGCTAGTTAGCTAAAAGTACACCTGATATGACTAGTTGCTAGTTAGCTGAAGGAGCACCTTATATGGCTAGTTGCTAGTTAGATAAAAGTACACCAAATATCACTAGTTGCTAGTTAGCTAAAAGTACACCTGATATGACTAGTTGCTAGTTAGCTGAAGGTGCATTTAATATGACTAGTTGCTAGTTAGCTGAATATGCACCTAACTATTCATAACTATTCATAAAGTTGGTCCTGCACCCAAAGTGTTGCTAGAATGGGCTGTATTGAAAGAACAAAAAGCAACCTACCGTATTAGTCTTCAAAAACTTAATTTAATTTGACAACATGTTGTCAAATTCACTTATACAAGAAATTAAAGGAAGGTCTTAACAATGTTTGAGTGGGCAGATAATGATCGAATGTAAATATCACCATCTCATAAAACACTTCCGGTTCAGGGCTATGCATGATACACTATAGTGTATGATTCTTTACCTCTAAGGTCCATCTGGCAAAGCAATGCAGACACACCACCAACTCACTTTACTAGACAACATTGACGACGAACCTTATGGATGTTCACCACCGACCAGGAAAGTCACGGCTGCTGCTTCGGCTGCTGTGGAATTCCGAAAGAAAGTGTCAGTGCATGCTAGAACCACAGACTCAGACTCTCAAAATTCGTTTGGTTTTCACTCGTCTGCCAGTATGTCGAGTATGTCTAGCAATGTCTCACTGCAGAGTCTTGGTGCTGAGAGTGTGAAAACAGTGCAGAGTATCGGCAGTGTAATCAACACACATGAACTCACTACAGGTTAGGGTTATTTTCTTTTGCTTAATTTTTTATTCCACTGTGCAAGCTGCACCGCATTTGTAATATTGTAGCTATTCTTCCCTTGTATTGAGAACTTAAATTTTGATTGTGAGAATATAAATTGATAGCATTTCACTAGACCACAAAATACCCAAGATGTTTCTATTCTTAAATAATAATGCTGCCAAAGACAACTTTTGTTCTCGTTCACAAAATTAAAATGACATATTAATTTTTTTTTATTTTTTCCTTAATTTTGATCAAGATCTATATCCAGTATGATATTATGTCCATTTGGATCAAAATTATCAACAAATATTCCAAAAAACACATAAAAATAGGTAAAATGCTATACTAAAATTTGTGTGAAAAAACTATGATGCACAAAAAGTTAAAACCTGAAGTCACATGTTACACTGAGAAATTTTATTAATAAATTCTGATTTTTCTATTATTATTGCTGTAGAGTATGCATACAGAGGGCGAAGTGAAACATTAACCTCTCATCGTCCTGCGGCTCATAGCGGGCCGAACAGTAGTCTTCCTAAAAACATGAAAGAAGGATGGTACTGGGGAGTGACAGGTGAACAGGAATGGTCTCCTCTCATGCAAACTGGTAGGCAATATTTTTGTTATATCTCCACTCTACATACAGCAATAAAAAACCTGTCTAAAGCGAACACTTACATTAGTGTTCAGTGTACACAGGTCGGGAACACAAATATTTGTGGTTTTACTATAATTCACAGGGCAATGCTCAAATTCTGAATGTATGTATATATTGAATCATTAAAATATTATATTAAAATATTAAAATTTTTTGAATATAGAAACACCTCAATCTGTAATTTATGTAAGCGGATTTGCTGATTGAATAGAGCAAATACGATATATATAGATATGTCAAGTTCAAGGGTACAGTGGTTAGTGTGTTCAAATCAATGGGGTTCTGGGTTTGATTCTTTTAGCTAGCTGACAACTCAAGTAGTATGAATCACAGCACATCTGCCCTGCCTTCCAATTAAGCGATATTTGGTTTTGCACTCTGATTCGCACATACACTAGCAATTAGCAGCAAATGTAAAAATTATCTGCCGCAAAAATAAATTAAAAACAAATATATGACAAATGAGAATAAAAAAAAACATATGTATAAAACATTGTATAAAACAAGAAAATTATGTATTCGTGTGATCTCAGTGTTATCTCCCACCCTTATAAACAGCTTGATTTTTTTATTTATTAATTATTTGTTTTGTTTTTTATCTCCAGGGGTTGATTGGAAGTCCCTAATATGGCCCGCGTGTCTTCCGCTCACTACCGACTTTTACCCCAAAGATAGTGAGCTGAATAAATCATACAAAGAATCTATGTACACCCTTCTTGCTGATGAAATCCTTGTCGGCACAAAGAAACTCTCGGTGGAGCAAGTATACAAAGAGATAATCTCTCAGCGACTGATGCAGGGCTGTCAATTGATTGTGATGTCTCGCAAGACTCCCAAACCCAAATCAGCCACATCTATGAGTGGACGGAATTATCAGGTAATGTAATTTAGCATTGATAGTTTACACTATGCAGTCGTATGTGACTTTGTTAGTATTCATCTACAAGCAAGGGTGTGTTGTAGAGATATAGAGAAACGCTCACCTGTACTCAGTACAGCCAGTACCTCCATGGTACAGCTTTCCGTACTTAATTAGTGTTAAATGCTTGCCACACGCGAAACCAGCAGTTCTGGTGTTCCCGGTTGCTTAGCAACCATGTGTTGTAAAAAAGGGGAAAGTACTAATGACATTGTCAGAAGAATACGGGCAGGTATTTTACTGCCAGGCATGGGGATTCTACAGTCTCTCGTATTACCTTTGAAAGTTTACGAATTATTTGTAAAATATAGAAACGTGAGGCACTTAAGGAAGTCAGTCTATCTTTCTCTATATACTGTATTCATCAATTTAAACTGCCCGCCTCAAATCATAAATCCATAATCTTTGAAGTAACAATCGTAGTCACTGATCAATGAGTGACAATTAACCAAATATGCATGTTATGTAAATTATGCTTTGTTCACAGGAGGCGTCATTTGAATATTTTCTCAGCATGGGCCGTACGTTCCATCGATTTAGTTTGAGTGAAGAAGTAATCTCTGTCTACAAGTATAGACCAAGGTAGATAAAACCAATTCAAAATATTACTTTCAATCTCTTCTCGCAAAATTAAAGCTTGACAATGTTCAGATCATACTGAAAATCACTAAAAGTGCTTTAGCCAGAAAGTCGCAATGAATTTTTTAAAATTAAAGTTATCACAAAAACGTTAAAATTACTGAATTCCAAAAATTTTTTGTTTACAGTATTCATATTTTCTACAATTGGTTCTCATTGGATGAAGTCCAAAACATTTATTGGATATGCAACATTGTATGAAAGTTGATACAAAGACATACATAATGATGTACATACAACATGTATGCATGTCAATTTGTTTTTTCTTTCATTCCCTTTTGATCAAAAGGTGGCAAGTTTTGTAAAAAATAATATTAGAATTTGTTTATCAACCATTTCTCTGGCTTGCCTGAGCCATTTTTATTTGTCCTCAGTACATACAAAATGCTCAAAATGCCTTTTCAGCGAAAATTAATTCCAGCAAAAATAAAGTATTCCACAGTATTTTAGTATAAGAAGATAGCCAGCTCCAAATAAAAAATGTCTTTTTGATAAATATTTAAACACATTATTGATAACAATAGAAATTTCAATACCATTTCTAACTTCTATACTTTTAGACATCTGTACTCTAACCCAACTGTAGAATATAGATACCAACTATGGACTGTTGATAAGAAAGACTACGAACCAGCCACGGCTCTCTTCCGTCCATCCAAGCTAGGTGATCAGAGAGAACAGATTACAGATGAATTCAACTGGAACTATTTGGATAATTATGTCTGTGCTTGTGAGGACTATGGCTTAATGGAGGTAATGAGAAGATACAGATTTAGTGTTTGAGAAGTGTGTCAAAAAAATGGCTATTATTTCTACATTTTTCTTTATATTCAAGCAAGTGTCACCTGACTCAAGTATCATTAAAATGATACTGGACAAATAATTATGAATATAGCATTTGGCCGACTGGTGGCCATTTTTAGTTTTAAAACTTGTCTTTTTGTTAGCAACAATAGTTATGATGCATTGTAAATAGACTATAGCAGAGATAAGATAATAAGAGATACATGTTGGAGCAAATATTTTTAGTTCCCGTTTGGACGCAGTCCGAAAAAGGGACTTGTGGATTGATCTCTGTGCGTCTGTGCGTGTATCCGTGTGTCTGGACCTATATCATAGACATTCCTGGACCAATTATATTCAAACTTCACACATACATCATACATAATATTATACACATGCACATCAATTTGTTTCACGTTCTGATTCAAAATTGCCAAATTGAGGCCATTTTTGTGCTGAAAAAATCATCAAAAATTTAGCATTTGTAGCATTTATGGATTGATTTTGTTTAAACTTGTACATACATTAGACATTATCGATTCCTGATTCAGATCATTTTATTTTTCAGATTAGATTCAAAATGACTGATTGGCGGCCATTTTGTTTTAATGAATGCGCTTCTAGAGCCATATCTCTGACATGCTTTGACTGATTATGTTCAAATTTTATATATTCATTATACATTATGTTTCATTTGTAGTTTCTGTGTACATTGATTGATTTACTACACCAGTGTGTGTGTACAAGTCATTCAAATTTTCATTTTCGAGATTGAACTTTGAATCCATTTCCTCACTGGTTTAGCCTCACTGCTTCTCATGTACGTTTATGGGATTCATTTATAATACTTGTAAATTTCTATTATTAGACTTAAGGGAAAAACAAGGTTTCGCTTCTTGTTGCAATTGAAAAATGATGTAATATTTTTTTTTGCATTATTGCACTGAAATTAATTAATCATTTATTTATTTAAATAAAGCTTTCAAATATGTATATTGAAGATTGATTTGGATCAACGAACCATCCTTTGAAACAGAAAATAAACATTTCTCCATTTCAAAAATTTGTGAGGTGCACGATGACAAAAAGCTAAAGTTTTTTTTTTTTTTTAGTCCTTTAGTTGTTTTCAGTGTAAGTGACTTCCAGTGAAAATAATAAGTAATTTATTCACCTTTTTGTGTTTACTAAAATGTCTCTGATCACAACTTTTATAATAGCCAGGGGTTTTTCTAGAAAAAAACTGCAAGAGGGAGCACTGCAATTCAGCGGTGCCACCAAGTGGAGGAGATACAGTAGGGTTCTCTCTACCAGAGTTAGAAAAGTTAAAATGGAGCATTCTATGGCTTCCTTGGGGCCAAAATTACTATCAGACAGGTGACAGTTGAAGACTGTGGCCACATGTGATCCCTGGTCAATCAGAATTGGATAAGGGGGCGCATGGCCATGCACCCCTGTTCCCTTGTTAAAAAAAAATCCCTGATAGCAAATGCAACCTATTTTTCTCAACATGCATGTTTTTTTATAGTCTCTGAAGTACTGGAGGAGTCGTTTCCTCCTGCTCCCAGCATGCAATGCAGCCACAAAGAAAATCACCGATGGGAGTAGTGAAACATTTGATATCTACACAACTGAGGAGTCAAACCCATCCATTGAAAAATTTGAAGGTTTCCTTAGATTCATAGAGGGTTTGAATAGAATCAGACGACCACCCGGCTCAATGAGAAAACAGATGGTGAGACATGAACTGTGCTCCTTAACTTAGTGAAAATTTAGATTTTTTGAGATTTGAATATTTTGTGAGGTCACTAAGAGTTATATTGTCTTGAAACTCTTACAATACACCCTTTCGGGATCATTGCTTGATTCATTAGCTTCACAAAGTCAAGGAATTGCATGTTAAATTCATGTGTACAATTCATGTGAACAATGTGTACATTGTAGAAACAAGCTCACGATGTCCAGCAGCCCACAAGCAGACCGCCTTCAAGGAGACCAAGCACTGCTGAACTTACATCGTTAACATCACAAACAGTGTTGGAGAAGGAAGGGTCACCTGCAGCAGCACAGAAGGTAAAAAAATTAATACTGCTCCACCATAGCTTTTGTATTGTGTCATTACGATAAGCTTAATACTACCATAGATAATAATTGATTTGGTGGTAGTAGCAAATTTCAACTGAGAAATATTATAGTGAACACTTCACTATAACAAAATAATTGTATGCCCCCTCCCCTCAAAGTGTTTGTTATTATAGTAGTAACAACAACAACAACAACAACAAAAGAATCATGTATTGGGGTGGTCCATGTCTTATATTTAAACAGACTATAGAACTACACATTCTGAATTGGTAATGCATTATGGCATCTGTGAGAACCAGTCTGCATGAACCAGCCTGCATGAACCAGTCTTAAAAAACCAGGAAAAATGAACCAGTCTGAAAAATTTCCAGTCCAGAAATACAGTTTGGATAAACCAGTTTGGATAAACTAGTCCTAATGATTTTCTTTGAGTTAGATGGAATTGGTTGCCTTGACAACAACAATAAAGAGATCTGAGGTACATCAATACATGGATAATAATTTCAACACTTCATCTGTTTCCTCCTTTGTAGTCAACACCAATAAATGTCATAGCAACTACTTCTACTGATGTTGCTACAGACAATGCCCAAACTTCCATGCTACGTGATGCTATGGGAACCATCTTGGACAAGACAGATGGGGAGGATGCCAGTAAAGATGAAGATGAAAGGCTTACTCTAAAATCCCCACTAGTGGATATTGTCAAAGCTATGAAAGACCCCAGGTATGGCTCTAAAATCCCCACTAGTGGATATTGTCAAAGCTATGAAAGACCCTAGGTATGGCTCTAAAATCCCCACTAGTGGATATTGTCAAAGCTATGAAAGACCCTAGG